AAACATTATTGAGTATACGATTTTAAGATAAAACGTTTTAATTTAAATGAAATGAAGAAATGAAAATGAAATATGACCCAAATTACGCATGTAAATGGAACATCGCTTTTATTGTCGTTGATTAAGTCCCCGTGAGGTCTTCAAACTCATTTATACGTCGTGTATCTATTGTCTAGCATTTGTATGTCTCATACGCATACTCCATATTTTAAATTAATTTATGGTTATGATTACAATAAATTAAAGATAACCAAAATTTGAAATGAACGTAATTATAATTAAGGTAAAGAACGTATTAATACTTACTCGGGATGGACCCCTTGAAGTTGATGGTCTGTTGGACGAGGGGGGCTCCCTCGTCCAGAGGGTTCTTCTTGTTGGAACTACATAATTCTGAAATACAGAAATAAAAAAATATAAGTGAATTATAAATAAATATTTTAAATAAGTGACTGTCATATAAAAGATATATTTAAATAAGTCTAAAGATCATAAACGGAAATACTTGAAAAAAAAAAAAATAAAGACAGTTATTAAGAACAAATTCATGAAAAAGTTCGAGCGTGAAACTTGAAGGGAATCTAATTTATAAAGGATAATTAAAATAGGTAAAAATACTTGCAATCACGGTATATAAAATTTATTAAAGATGTCAATAAACATCTTCCGGATTCTCATATACATTTATTCCACATTTTAAATCAATTTATGACTATAAGTTTACAATCAATTAAAGATAGCTAAATTGAACGTAATTATAATTAAGGTAAATAACGTATTAATACTTACTGGGGTTGGGCTCCTTTGAATGGGTCCAATGGAGCAGGGAGGATCCCTCGTCCAAAAACCACCCTGTGCTGGAACGTGCCAATTCTGAAATACAGAAAACATATAGAAAAATTATAAACAGAAAAGTATAAGTGTCTGTCATATAATTCTATCAATGATATTCTTCTCCTTTTGTGTGAAAATCTCCCATTCACCATTACGGGCTCTTGATTCAGTAATAAAATCTTGTATAAAAGCTATATTTAAAAAATCTATGTATACTCGTTTCTTAAGGTCATAAACGGAAATGCGTGTGTCAATTAAGACGGTTACATGAACAAAAAGTCCGAACATGAAACTTTCAGATAATTTCGTATTTATAATTTATAAACATAGTTATTTAGACTAAATACATGAAAAAATATACTTACGAATTTTGGTGTACTTTCCATATCTGAATGAACTAGAAACAAAGGAGTTCTCTTTATATACCCCAATTATTTTACTCATCAGAATTATCTGTCCCGGAACAAGTTTTAATGTTAAGAGTTAATTGAAAAATTCCTCACAAATAAATTAACCCTTATCTAAAATTGCAATAAGGTATATAGACATTCCGAATTAATTAAACCATCATTATTTGTCTCGGAACAGGAATTACTTTGCAGAACGAATCGAAAAATAATAATAAATATTCTTTTCACATTTAAAATAAAAAAATCCTCAATGAAGAAGAAAAAGGGTTAAACATATTCACACAACATTATAATAATTCCGACTTTCAAATAGAATACACAATCGTTAATTATTCAATCGTCAGTCATTCCAAGATTTTTATTTACAGAATTAATCGAAGATAACGGAACTCCATATCTAATTAATAGTATGTGTGTGTACCAGTTGTATGCAATAAATTATCTATCTAGCTAATTTTAAGATAGCTGATTAATGTGGAATTATTGATCCAGGGGAGTTAACAGATGTATGTTAAATTATCGGAATAAGTAAAGCAGAGTTATCTCCCATATGCAATATTAGAAAACACGAATTAGCCGGGTTTTTATTCCGTTTATTAAAAGTGTAATTGTGTGATCCAGTTGTACACAACTATCTATCTGGCCAATTTTTAGATAGCTGATTAATGTGGAATTATTGATTGATGCAGGTTTCCGGTAAAAGTAAAGCAGAGTTATTTCCTATATATGACAAAACACGAATAAGCTGAAGGTTTATGTCATTTCATTAAGTAATTTTCATGGAAATAAGCATTTTAAACACAAAATAAACAATTACGAAAACGAATCATTTCACTTATTCCGTGTATATATAAATATGAATTTTTTATTGTGGAAAGAGAGCTAACTCTGTCTTGACTCCACAATGAAATATAGGAAAACACTAGTTGTCTTCCATGTGCGTAAAATCAAAGTACTGATTGCAGGACAAATCTACTACAAATGGACCTTCAACAGACCCCGAGCCGGGACCCTCGGAAGGATTTTGGTGTCGCCGATGCACGGCTAGATTTCCCAATCGCCGCGAGTTGTACCTACACGGCATGCAACATCACTATCAGACAGGTGCCGGGGGTTTACAATCTCGACCTTGGACCCACGATGAAGCCCCTTGGGAAGTGGAGGAAGACGGAGCTTTGAAGACCGTTTACGAAGCCAATGCACCCATCATCTTAGAGAATCACAGCGAGAGTTCCGTGACATCAACTTATAACGTTCCAATCACCAACGATTTCACCGTCCCCCAACTCATGGAGCAAGCCGAACGTCTCTACGATCGCCAGGGTCACGCCTTTCGTCTGAACTTGGAATTTGGTTTGATATTACGGCACACGGAAACCGGAGAATACCGTTACTTTCGTCCATTCCAGAAAGAGTCACTCTTTCAGCGTTCCGTCTATATATCACGCCGTAAAGACCTCAACCGGCTGAAATTACGTCTTGAACGCTTTAACGTCACAGACTACATCTTACGTCAGAGATCCAACAGCAAATGGAAACCGTATTTAGTCACCAACGTCCGATTCGTACTGTACAATTTAAACTATCCCTTGGGAAATGCCGTCCAACTACCGGACTACATTTTACGATCAACGTCCATCGTGGCTTTAGATAAAAGTCGAAAGGGTAGGCAGTACAAAGACCACCTGTGCGCCTTCCGTTGCTTGGCCGTCCACCAAGGACACCAAACGAACCAACTAGAAACTCATTCCAAGGCTTTATTCCAGCGTTGGATTCAATATGCCGAAGACAAGCAACTCGATTCAACAAATTTTCAAGGACTCCCGCTCCACCAGATGGCGTATTTCGAACATTGTTTTAACATCAACGTGAATGTGTACCACTTACGGGACGACAGGGTAGCTCTCACCGTCTACAAATCCCGTTGCCATTATCCAGACTCCATGCACGTCAACCAATTTGACCATCATTTATCGTACATCTCGAACTTAGCGGCTTATACCCAAAAGTTCCAGTGCGGGACGTGCGATCGACATTTTAAATTCCTTCACAGCATGAAACGTCACCAAGTGAAATGTACCGGGCAGACCGTCTACCGCTTCAAAGGCGGATTTTATTCCAACCCAGAGATAATTTTCGACAAACTGGAAGAACACGGCATCCGAGTCCAAGATCGTTTATTTCCGTGGTTTGTCGTCTACGACTTCGAGGCCATGCTGGTTCCCATCAAAGAATCAAATTCCGATAAACTCACCTGGACCCAACGCCACGATCCCATCTCAGTTTCTGTCTGCAGCAACGTCGAGGGATTCACCAAGCCACATTGTATCGTTGACCCCACCGCCCAGTCATTCGTTCAACACATGGTCGACTACATGACAGAAATTGCCCTGATCTCACATAAACTAGCTAAAGAGAAATTTGCCGACGCTTTTGATCAACTGGACGCTGACATCGAGAACCCATACCGTGCCTTGCTAGAAAACGACGATGAAGAAGGATATAAACTGGACTCATTCATGGACGACGAAGAACTTCTAGAGGAAAATAAAAAGCAGAAGAAGGTCTTCGAAAGACTGAAAGAAGAGCTGGACGCTTACTGTCGCCAGATCGTCGTATTGGGGTTCAATTCGGCCAAATACGACATGAACCTCATCAAGACATACATTGCCAAATCATTGCACATGCACAAACCGGGGGAAAAATTTACAGTGAAACGAAACAACAGCTACGCCTGCCTGGCCAACGAGACCTCCAAATTTTTAGACATTACCTCGTATCTGGCACCCGGATTTAGTTACCAAAAGTTCTTGAAAGCCTACGAAGTCACCGAAAATAAAGGATTCTTCCCCTGCGAATGGTTTGACAGCGCCGAGAAGTTACATCATCCGACACTACCTGCCCACGAAGACTTTTACAGCTCTACCAAAGAAAGCAACATCTCGCCGGAAGACTATGCTTATTGTCAAAAAGTGTGGACCGAGAACAACATGTCGACGTTCCGAGATTTCCTGGTGTGGTATAACAATCTCGACGTCGCACCTTTCGTACAGGCCGTGGCAAATTTACAGAAATTTTATTTCGAACGGGAGATCGACCTCCTCAAGACCAGCAATTCCGTCCCCGGACTAGCACGCCGGATGCTCTTCGATACCGGTCGATGGGCCGGTGCCTCGTTTGCCTTGTTCGACGAAGCCAACAGTGACCTCTACTTCACCCTCAAGAACAATTTGATCGGCGGACCATCCATAATCTTCAATCGCCATCATGAAGTCGGGCAAACGTTCATCAGGAACAATTTTAACAAACCCTGCCAGAAGATCCTCGGTTTCGACGCCAATGCCTATACCTCTATTGTATCGACCAAGACATGCCGACGGGTCCGTTCGTTCGCCGACGATTGGAGGACGGCTTCAAACCTGAAAAGCGGGATAAGTATACCATGATGTACGACTGTATGGACTACCTCAATCACTCACAGGGTCTCGACATCCGACATAAACTAAACACCGGAAAAGAGAAAAAGATCGGCCCGTATCCAGTCGAGCCAAATTCGACAAGACCGCCAAGACCACAGCGTTCATCCGGGCGCAAGGCTATACAGTCGTCGAGAAATGGGAATGTCATTTTCGTCAAGACGTCAGAAGAAATGGTCAATTGAAATCCTTCTGCGACTCCCGAAAACCGGCGACCCCGCAACGATCCGTCACCGAAACCGAGATTCTAGAGGGGGTAGCTAGTGGTCGACTCTTCGGTATGGTGGAATGTGACATCCGGGTACCAGAAGAATGGCCATCGAACTTTCGACATCCGACCATGTCTCCATACCAATACTTTGAGGAAATGTCGCCATTGTTCTGTACCACCGACGTACCTTTCCAAGTCATCGGGGAGCACATGCAAGACCACGTTCGCCGTTTCGAGTTGTCGGAAAAACCTCGTCGACTGCTGGTGGGGGGCATGCGAGGACGCCAGATGTTAATCGCCGCTCCGCTCCTGAAATGGTACATCGAACACGGCATGCTCGTCACCAAGATATACCAAGTCGTGGAATTTAAACCGAAGCGAAGTTTAAGGGATTTCGTTAACGTCGTCAGCGACAATCGACGACTGGGAGACGCCGATCCCGACAAGACCATCATCGCCGAAACCTCCAAACTTCACGGCAATAGTGCTTACGGCGGAACCATCATGGACCAGGAAAAATTTAAATCGGTGACGTACGTGGAAGGCGAAGGGCGGGTGATGTTAGAAGCAAACAAGCCACAATTTAAAAAGATGACCACCCAATTGGAACAGGACGAGTATTTCGAAGTGGAAAAATCGAAAGAGAAATTGGACATCAACCTTCCCATCCAAATCGGCTATTTCATCCTACGGTATGGCAAACTAAGAATGTTAGAGTTCTATTTCGATTTTCGGGACGTGTTTGCAGACCGCTCCGATTTTCAGTACTGTGAAATGGATACCGATTCCGCATACATGGCCCTGTCCGGACCCGACTTGGCCAGCATCGTTAAACCACACACGCAAGACGCCTACCAACGCCAACTGATCGGATGTTGCCGAGACGATTTTGAACCCGATTGGCTCCCACGTACGTGTTGCACCAAACATGCCAAGTACGATAAGAGGACCCCCGGACTATTTAAAGTGGAATACGAGGGTGACGTCATGATCGGACTATGCTCCAAGACCTATATCGTTCAAAAGTCCAAGCTCGTCTACACTTCGAACACAAAGATGACAGCCTTTCGACTTCTCAGACGTGCCAAGAAGCTCCCACCGAAGCGCCTCATCCATCGTCCGCGTCTCGTCCGGGATGTCAAATTCAGTTCAAAAGGCGTCACCAAGAGACGGGTCAAGGCACCCATGACCACCTTTCGCCACGTCCTCAATACACAACGCGTGGGAAACGGATCGCTTAAAGGATTCCGAGCCAGAAACAACGGCATAGCCACTTATGAACAGACTAGAAATGGCTTCTCTTATTTTTACTGCAAGAGGAAAATTTTAAGCGACGGTGTGAGCAGTGTTCCTCTCGATTTAGAACTGTGCCCCGTTCCCATGGAAATCGACGAAAGCGAAACGCCCATGGAAATAAACGAGCCCAACTGTCATGGACGACGACGATCGATATCGGATTCATCTATTGGAAACTAACTTTGATAGTGATGGTGAATGACATGTATATAGTGTGTGACACAAATTCTGTGACCATTTTTGAAGTTTTAAATTTGATAGATTCAATTTTCCAACTGTACTCATTTTATCGTGTGTAAATCGAAGTGGTATGACATTGGGTAATCATGTTTTTTGTTTTGTTTTTGTTTTTTATACAAGTTCCCATATATTTCCTATAGTAAAAATGAAGACTCGAAAGAGCAGTGTAGTTCAATTTTTTAACCGAGTAAAAACACATTCTTGATAAATGTAAACGATCAGAAATGACCACTGGGGTAAAATGAAAACGTTCTAAAACGTAATGGAAATTACACGAGACTGGGACCATTTTTCTGTGAACTTTAAAATTTGATAGCTAATTTTTCCAATTGTATTCATTTTATCGTGTGACCATGTTTTTTTTTTTTTTTTTTAGTAACCATACATTTCCTATGACTCGAATGAGTACTGAAGTTCTTGAGTAAAAACACATAATTGGTAAACGAACAGAATTGAAAAAACACCATGTAAATAATTTGTGTGTACAATAAATGTATATTGTGTATAATAAAATGTATGTTGTGTATGTTTACTATTGTTGTTCATCTGGCCTGACGGAATGTCGAAAACTACTTTTCGTCGTTATCTCCCCTCCCTTCCTTGTCATAACGAAAAATAGTTCTTGACTTTCCAGTCTACAATAAAAAAATAAATCAACTCGCTAGTCTTATCTACATTTTTATTCATCCACATGTTACAAAGACATATTTAGAGCGTAATCCATGGTTTATTGTCTTTGGTCACTTGGTCTTTAGCCGGAATTCCGGGAGGTCCTAGTTTAGGTGTCTTCTTCTTTTTCTTGGATCCTTGGCCCGTCTGCGACTTTTCACGATCGGCTAAGAGTGTGTGGTAGCGATCGTAAGGTACCAGTATCATTTTCTCCATGAGTCTACGATATCCAGAAGATGAACGATGGCCGTTGTTCCCTTTTGCAGAACACGAAGTCTGTCTTTTCTCGTCGACGTTTTTCTACCCAAGATGCTGATGATCTTTTTGAATCTCTTCAATTTGACTTTCTCCGAGGGTGTCAGGACGATCGTTCCTTTGATGACGTTGTGGGCTATTCCGCTCAAGGCTTTCAGTTGTGATTTGTCGATGGTCTTTAACAAGGCCTTTCGCTGATCTTTCTTGGCGGTCCGCAACAGGTGTAGAAAATGGTGATGGGTGTCCAGCAGTCGACTCATGCCTGATGACTGTGGTGTGTTCGTTCCTCTTATACTTTCTGTGGAATGTAGATCACCGTATCTTCTCCCGGGAACACTTTGGTCCTCAATCGATAGGTATCGTCGGAATTTGGCGCCAAATCGACGATTAAGTAGCCGTAGTCTCTCGAAGTGGCGTCAGAAAAGCTTTTCATCAGTATCTTCCAACGTCCTGGATATAGTTGTCGCCCCAAGGTCACGACCTGGGAGACGTCTCTCACGTTTTTCATCAGAACCAAGTACGTGGTGTTGAGGGCGATGGTCCGCGACCTGGATCCTTGTACGTATAGGTTTTGGGTCAGAAACAAGACGCTCAATCGTCGGTGGTGGCATCCCTGTGTGAATAGCAGTTCCATGTCGACGTCGCGCACTACTTGATGCATCAGATCATCTAGAACGACTAACCGATGACGTCTATCGGCGGAGAATTCCCGGACCGTGAAGGCTTCGCTGCTGACCAGGGCCACGATCAATTGACTGGGAACGTCTCCCTGGAACAAATTGTTCTCGATGAATCCGTACACTCCCTTGGATACTGAAGCCGTCTTGAAGTGACTGGTTACGAACGGATACATGGCCGTGGCGTCTCCCAACAATTTGCTGTGGGCCATTAACACTCCGGCGTTTGGTGTCTGTAGACACAGTTTGAAGGCGGGATCCAGGATCTGCACTCGGTAAGCCGCGTCGTCGTCGCTGGACATCAGGCGAAAGGCGTTCTTACTGGGCCACAGCTTCAGGGTCAACGGGATGCCGTTCAACAACAGGCGATGTTGACGAAACACGTCCAAATGTAAAGGTCCTTCCATCTCCAGGATCCTGCCTTCTCGGGTGTATAAAGAGCGACGGTACAATCCCTGGTTCGCTCCAGCTTGCACGTCGGCCTCGTCCAGATGTCCAGCCGAGTCTCTCTCAAAGAGCTGCGAATCTAATAGTACTTTATCGCTGGCTCCCGTCTCCAGTAAGGTGTCGATGTAGGCCTTGAATGGATAATTGGATCCCATTTGCGCGACGGGCGTCTGTTGAAGACTGCATTCCACCTCAGAAAAGAGGGCTTGAAGTGGCAGGTTGACTAATGCCACGTTAGTGTCTTTGGCGACCGAGGTACCGTCGGCCTTCAGGAGACGTAGTTTGACTTTCAGGACACTTTTCTTCAGATCCATTTAGGCGGCCGATTGGGGTGGAATCGAGAAATCCAAGGGAGCGTCCGCACTGATTTGATTCGTCGGTCTAAATTCTATCCATTCTGCGTTGGCCGGTTGTGGGGAAAACAAGGACAGTTCGTCTTCGTGATTTTCTTCCAAGTGGTTCATGATTCATCCAGTTGGTTGAACGTTCGCCTGCGCTTTCGCCCTCTTATAACTTTCGGAGGGGCCAGTTCCGATTTGGCCATCTCGAGGGTCTGCGCCAACGGCGTCACCAGTTGAACCTTGGGCGTCGACTCTGGGCGCCAACGGGCGCCGCTGCCCACGATGTATCGTCCCTTGTGGTCGGGTCGGACCCTTCCTGCCGATAGGTCCGAGAAATGTTGCTCCCACTTTTTGTGATCGGGAACGTACGGTATCCAGCGTTGTGACTTGTGGTCGTACACTTCTATCGACCCCATCTCCGTCTGCGGAGGTGAAGCGTGCAGTACAAGCAGTCGGTTTTAAATCGGCATGCCCGTAACTGGTCGTCTCTTATAAAGATTCGCACCCGATTCAAGTCTGTTTGACGTAATCTGACGTAATAAGGTTTGGTATACTCCAAAGTTCCTTCCTCGACCGGTTCGGTGGATCGCAAGAGCGGCAAGAAACTGTTCCGCGCGTAGGATTCCTCTACCACGTCGGCACAGACGTAGAGTCGATGGGTTTGGCGTTCCGGTTGAGACGGTAGGGCGAGTTCCGTCAGTGCGCATTCCCACGTACCCTCCAGCAGGAATCTCTTGGGAAGATCCACCACGAAGTCCCCGGCGTGGTTATCGGAGTGGGCCTTGAGCGAATCGCCGCTGTACAGGTGCAGGTAGACATCCTCCATCGTGTCGTCATCTCGGTGTCCCGCTAGTCCCCTCTTATGAATGTCACTGTTCCCCAGAACGCAGAGACAGGACGATGGCTCGATTGAGGTACTGGGATCTCATCAGACGCGGAATCGTCTCGTGGAAAGTCATCAGGGCGTTCTTTTTTCTTTGTAGAGATATTCTACCATCGATCAGTTGACGGATGAGGAGAGAACGCTTTCTAAAGTGGGAAGCGTCTTGCTGAAGGACGCGGATGAATCCTTGGACGATGAAACGGACGACTTCGGACACGGCCTCCATCTGTGCTCTCGTCATGAATCGCACCAATAGCTTTCTCGCGGGTTTGTTCACCTGTCCTAGTTGTAGGTAGTGAAGGTGTTCGTATACGATAGACTGGTCCATGATTACACGGAAGGTCGTGGTTCCGGTCTCTTATACTCTTTCAAAGACGTCAGGGGGATCCAACTATTGAATTTCGCCGGCCATCCCATCCACTTTACCAACGCGTCCTGGCGTCTTCGGCGAATGACTTTTTCGATACGGTACACCGTCTCCTCGGTGACCTTCACTCTGATCAGCTCCGGTTGGTAAAACGTGTCCTTCAACGTGTAATACGATATGCCTTCTTTCGTGCCTCGGTCGTCCACCACGAAATACTCCATCGTCCAACGTTCGTCGTACTCTCGATCGAACGGCTGCCTAACGTGCGAGATGCGGACGGTGTCTCCTTTTCGGAACTTGTAACCTCGTGTCGCTGGTTTCACGTACTGTTGCGTCGGGTACTGGAGTTTCCACAGTCGGGCTTCGTCCTTTTTAGTCAGCGCACGGGGAGCCATCTTGATGGAACGGTGGTAGGCGGCATTATAAGTCTGGGTGGTGTCGTCCAGGACGTCGATCCAACGATGCGTTTGATGACGGGATAGGTATCGGAAGAGTCTAGCCTTCAACGTCTTGATGCATCTTTCGGCGTAGGAAGTTTTCTGTTCGTTCTGGGTGTAAAAGTAGCCAACCTTCTCGGCTTTCAAGAGACGTTGGACGTCCTTGTTCCGGAATTCCAGGCCTTTGTCGGTCCTCAGTTTGGTAGGCTTTGTACCACGACGGAATATGGTCTCTAGCGCGGACGACATTTCTTTGCCTCGAGTCGATCTTAAGGGAAACGTCCGCGCTAGGCGGGAGAAGACGTCTATGACCACTAGGAAGTAAGGGTATCCGTCGTTGTCTTTGGCATACGATTTCATCACGGCGGTATCGGCGTCCCACTGGTAGTCGATGAACGGAGCAATCACTTTTCGTCTCCGAAACTTTCTGTTGATCTGCTTGTGTAGGCCGAACGTTTCCTGCGTTTCCAACTATTTTCTGATCTTGGTTCTTTCCAAGACGAACTTTCCATCTTTGCGCACGGCTCGATACAATTTGTCCAGTCCGGCAAACGAGCCCGGGAACCGAGGGTCGTAGTACACTTTTTCCAAGTACGTTTTATAACTCATCTCGGCGTTAAACTAGCGGGCACTTCTTTCCTCTTATCATTGAAGAAACTGTTTGATCATGTCACATTTCCATGTCTCCAGGTGTTCATCGTGGAGGTACCTTTCCATCTGTTGATGACGCAGGGACGCTAATATGGCAAATACTTCGTATCGCTTTTCTGCAAAGAGTAAACGTATATACGTTCCATCCATTTTAAACATTTTAACCCCACTCTCCTCCTCTTATGCATTCCAGTTCTAAAATCACCGGATATATGGCGTCTAGATCTCTGTGGTGTTTGATCCCCGTAATCAGTATCTTACCGGATAAATGACAGATGTAATGAAGTCCCTGACGTCGAAACATCACGGCGGGTTCGTAGCTAAAATGAAGTGGTAATCGATGAGGGTCTATTCTTCCGCTTAATTGATGGGAGGCAGACGCCGTGATCACTCTGACATGTCTCAATTTCACTGCGAATCCCAGCTTCTGAACGATTCTGGCGTAACGTCGGAGTCTCTGTCTTCCTTCCAGAAAGGATGAACACTTTCCGTTACAATTAATCTGTCCGGTGGAAAATAACATACAGTTCCCTTTGATCTTCCTGTGTTGCCAGATCATTGCGGAAAAAGACCGGGGTTCGTAACGCACGTTGGCAAGTGTTTCCGTGAGATGGCAAAGATCGACGGAACACCCTAAATCGCCTTGCACTACCACGTTCGTCAGTCTCATTCCAAGAGTGCTACCAGAGAAGTACAATCGCTCGATCTAAGCGCTTCGATGAAGGCACGAAAAGCCGACGGTCGCCTTCTCATCAAAATCGTCAACAGTTGGTAGACTTTATTCTTTTGTGTATTTTGAAACAAGATATCTTCTACGTGGTCGTTAGAGAGGATGCGTTCCTCTTGTAAGTATGGTACAATTTCTTCGACTGGCGTTTCGGTCACCAGAGGAAGGAAATGTTTGGCCAGTATCCTTTTCTCGCGTGCGTTCATGAGGACGGATCCTACAAGACTGAGACGATCAGTCTGAATCCGTCGTTTGTGTGTGTGTGTGTGTTTCTACATTTTGATTGGACGCGAACTTTCATTCTGACAAAACATAATGTATGACTCCGACGTGGTTCGAACACGTAACCTTCTGAACTGGACTCAGACGCGCAACCATTGCGCCACGGAGTCTTTGTTTTGACAAATGTAAATTTATAATGTCAACCTTGAGTTCCGTTTTGATCCCAATAGGTCCTTGCCATTGGTCGATTCGATACATGTCCGTATATGAATATCCTCCCCGATCAAAATGAGTCACGTCAGACGAGTCATATTGTAACGTTCTTACCTTATTTCTGGATATGAATCATTCCAATTGATCGAAAGTAGGAACGATGGGTTCCAGACCTTATATGGACTTATGAGTCATGTTGTGTCGTCCTAGTCTTATCTGAAGTTTGAATGCTGACCATATTAGGTCAGCCGGAGGGGACGTTTAGAAAAGAGGGCGGGGCTTGACCATATTTGGGTGCGCCACAGCGCCACGTGTTTTTGGGTTGCATAAAAACCAACCGTCCCTACTACTCATACCACTTCATTCTCTTCACCCCCTGTTAAATCTATGGGGTTGCCTGGTGAAGTGATGGGTAGTATTCTCTTTGCCTGAAAAGATAATTTCATTAGATAATTAAATTGAGTAGTTTATATATTCATAATATTTCATTTTAAGGATAGGAAACTATCTATTCTTCCTACCCCCCAAGGGTGACTGGGGAATAGAAGTATGGTCATCATTGGTCTTCCTCCGACCGGCAGTAAAACCCATATTTTGTTACGGTATCCCTTTTTTGTTATAGTACATTTTTGTTTTGGATAATGTATATGTCATATAATACGGATACTATGTTGGAAACAATTTGTGAGAGACTTTTGGAGAATTTTCGAGTCTGAAGAAAAAAAAATTTCATTTTTTTTTTATCTGTTATAGTTAAGGAGATATATGACAAAATAGGTTCTCCTACCCATAATTTGTTTTGCTAGCCATGGTGGTCGTGTTTTCTATCTCGAAAGTCTCGTATTTTGGGTATATGTATGATTGAAAAAGGGATATGGAGTAAATGTGCATGAGAAGCAACTGAGCAACACTTATTGTTATTCTTCATCTTGAAGTCACCATTGGTATTTTCTTCCCTTTACTTAATACCTTTTCTACATAGAACTTGTTAGAATGAATTCTTTTTTGTTGATTTATAAAATTCAAATGAACTATAACAATACATAATTGCAAATAAATTTGATAAATGCCTTTTGTTTAACGTCCACCACCACACAATTTAATCTTAATCGGTGCCTTATATACATTCGTGTAAATTCGGAATTCATTGTTTGATTGATTGTCGAGAAAGCCAGGATACAACGTATAATATAATAAAAAGAAAACACGATGAATTATTCAATGCACTAAAACTACCGTGTAACAACTTATACCACAAAGTTTTTTAATCGTCCTATTATCTTCTTCTCTATCTTTACTTCCTTCAAAGGATAACCATGATTCATACTTGTTTAACGTCCACCACCACACAATTTAACCTTAATCGGTGCCTTATATACATTCGTGTAAATTTGGAATTCATTGTTTGATTGATTTTGCAACTTCTTGTTTTCGTGCTTCTGAAAAATTATTGAATTCTATGCCTTTCGTCATTCCCTCTTCCACATTTTTTATCATTTCCCTGTAGTATTTTCTTTTGACGTCACCGTTCATGACTTTTTTGTTGACTATTGAAATTAGTCCTTTGAGATTTAGATATTAAGCCTTATCAAGAGTCACTCTACTTGTTATTACCCTGCAAAAAAAAAAAAGAAATATAAAGTATTAATATTATTAGTACGTAGATCACTTCATATCAATTATCTATTTTTATACAGTAAAACTAAGTACGATATAGATGATATATTTTTAAAAGCAATTTAAAAACAAAACAAAATGAGAATAAGTGATCATTGTTTGGAAGTCGAAAGGAAGGAGGTACAAAAAGATTAAAGAGAAAATCGCATTTGTCAATATTGTAAATGACGAAAATGATTCGAAAATTTTATAAAGAAATATAAAAGATACTAATTTGGAAGGTAAACATTTTAAGGGAGTACTCTATATCGGAATTTGTGTAGCTTACTGCTCCTTTTATTAAACTGTCTTTTACATTGAGGAAGGTGTATGTTTTATTGTGTTATATGGTTGTAATGTTTCAAACTCTTAGGGTATAAATGTGCATTTATTCAATAAATTAAATTAATTTATCGACCGTCGGACACGTCATGAAAAAAAATCGTGCGAACGAGCCATTTTTTTTTATTTGTTGTTTTTTCTTCACATCAACATTAATTTTTTAGCGAGGATTTTACATTTCATTAGGAAATAGAAACAGTTTTAACATTATAAGCAAAAATCAATCAAATTTATGCATAAATGTTGAAGTGTTGTCAACAAACAATAATAAAAAAATGAACTGCAAAATAAATATTTCTATACTATACTATACTATACTATACCTCAATTCAAACATGTCAAATATTTTTAAGCAATTCGGGGGTATTAATATTATTTTGGTTTGTTTTTTTTAATAATAAAAAGATCTACAAATAATATGCTTTATACTTTTACTTACTTTATATGGAATGGTCCCGCTCTTTCTGTTTGGTTATTGCTAAAAAAAGATTATTTTTAAACTCAAGGTCTTTCAAAGAACTTTACAAAGATTACAAAATATTTATTGAGTGTACATAAGTTGGTAAGTATTACCGACTGTTTCAGGTCATTTATTCCAACGTATGTTCCGAAAAGAAATTACATTTTATTGGCGAAATTATTGTCCTACAAAATAGACCGACATGTAACAAGATATGAAAAGGCGGTGAAAGAATTCTTTAAAATCATTTAAAATCAGTGAGATACTACATTTGTTAAATAACTGAGATACGTACACGAATAGTCCCAATGTCGTATCATCTAAATCAATTTTCTTCAGCGAGTTCTTTTTTAAAAGTGTTTTTTTTTATATAAGAATAGTTACATTATTATAGACTTTTTGAAGAAAAAAATCAAGCTCGAAATTATGTACGCAAATCTATAAGTTTTTTTTTGTAAAATGAATTTAAATATTAAAAGAATTAAAATAACTGTTACATATGTTTGAAATAACTGTATTTAAGCTTACCTTCCGTCGATCATTCTCTGGGCCATTGTAATTGTAAAGTCTACAGATATTGAGCCCAAGTACGAGGAGTTAGTAGACAGTAGGTTTCTTTTAAAGCCCAAGAGATTTCAAAGGGGTAGAACTGTCTATTGAAAGTTTTGGCCTATGGACATTAGTCTTCAACTGATCACTGTTTACATGACGTTTCACATTGTTAAATCTTCAACAATTTCTTTCAAGTCAGTAATAAATCCATCACTTACTGACATCATCACTTATTCAGCTTTTATTTTCTCTAAAATCTTGGAATTGTAAAATTAAGACAATACTCTTCAGCTGACCACTGGTTGCATGACGTTTCATAATCTTAAAAATTATCTTTAAAAATCACAGATTGTGGTAAAACCACTAAATCAAGCTATTGCTTTTCAATTTTTGTCTTATCCACAATATTTTAAATTTACTTGCACTAGAAAATTTTAATCTGTTCACCAACTTTTATGGTTTTTCTTTGTTTAAAAATAATAAATAATTTTAAGGTGTCAAAATTATCTTTTGTGAAGATTGATGTTTTCACACAGATTTTAAAGAGAAATTATGATGCCAATGATTTTTCCGGTAGGTAGCTTAATATTGTATTTAATGTTAAGTTTCTCTTGAAAAATATGATATATATTTTTATAAGAAAAAATAAAAAAAAAAATAAATACAAATCGATTAAAATTACTTCAAAGTCAAAGACATTGACGGAATAAAAAGTTTCTTAACTGTTTATTTAAAAAACAAGTGTTGTCTGTATACTGAGAGAAATGTACATTATCCTATTTTAATATTTGTTAATGTACTTATTCAACTTAATACCAAATTTGAACTTGTTATTTTTCGTACACTGTATTGGGACTGTTAGAGGTTCTCCTTGCAAATTATACAAAACGGAACGGATATAGGTGTCTGGGTCAGGGATTGCGTCCAATTTTACACTTATTTTTAATTGTGAACTGTAAAGGGGTGTAATTTTGTCTCTCAAAGTTCCTGAATACTTTTGTAAATTAAATGCTACATATTTCATTATTTTATCATATACATGTATTATAAATAATTCAATTTCATAATTTTCGGCAATTTTTTAACATTTTTCCTTTTATGATCTACAACAAATATGTTCGTATTCCAAATAAACTGTATCCCTTATTACGCTTCTTGTCCGTAATATGTCAAAAATGGCGAAACTACTATCTTTACTACTTTTAACAATAGTGACGAATAGTAATGCAAACCAAGTAATGCATTTCTGTGGACCAAACATAACTATTGTAGGACAGTTAAGAACACCTTTGATTAAAGTGTACGGAGAATCGTGCAATTGTTTCATCTTCTATCCTTAAGCACTATGGAAGCCCCAGGTTTACGACAAGGATCACCCCGAATGCAGTTGGAAATGTTCCCTTACATCATGTGGTATGTATTTTATTGAAGCAAATTTCCTACAATTTCACAATCAAAAGATTTATGGTATGCATTACATCATAATCATTTTCGAGAATTTTGCATTATTTAAAAAAAAAATACCACTGGGAAAAACTCCTTTTAGAGAATTCTGGTGAATAATACAGAAATCGCCGTATGAACAAAGAAATTATATGATTCTTTTTTGCTGGATTTGTTATTATTACCTTCAAATTGACTTGTTTCTCTTGCTACATGTGTATATATTAAACGCAGAAACTCATCTTTAACTCCTATAATTTGAAACAGGATCCATGTAGGGACATATTAGTCCAAATAATTATGACGCCTGGCAAGGCTATTTTAATTTTTTTCTGGGCGTCCCAGAAAAAAATGAAAAATAGCCTTGCCAGACCATAATTATTTGGACTAGGGACATATATACAAAGACTATAAAGATTATGTAATTTTATCACTCCAGTATTTCATACAGAGTACAGATATTTAAAAAAAAATTTACATTATATATATATCCATTTAGTTGTATCAGAATATGACTAAAGAATTTTTTCAGTTCCAGATGTTGGTGTAACCACACAACAGCCTCTAACTACAGAAAAACCAAGTCCTGGATCCACAAACCCTACTACGGAGACACCAGACCCTACCCCACCAGGCACCAAATCAATGGATCCTGAAACCACTGGTTTGTTATTTCATTTCTACAATGTTACTACAATTTCATATATGACAATTCTTCAGAAAAATTTTAAGAATGATAGTGTTCCCCCCAGCTTTCTAAAAGGGCATGGTGATTTTTCATTCCATAATAGTCATCTAAAAGGGCATTTTCACTTTGTAAAAATTAACTTAAAGGTAGCAGTGTTTGTTATTTATTTTTGTTGTAGAAAATTTATGTGTGAAAGAAAAGTAAAGTTCGATCAGCCTATATTGAGGAAAATGAAAACAAAATTGAGGATGATGCCAGTTATGAATTCAATATATTCCAAGCTTGATAAAATATTCAAAAATTTTAGAGGACCTATAATAATATTTGTATATTCGAATAATTTACTTACATTTACATGTAGGATGATGATAAAAATAGGTAAAAAATAAATAAGGGGTCTTTTTTTGTGATAGTGTGATTGGCCATAATTTCCAGAGAATTTTCAAATGACTAAATTATTTAATTTTTCATAAACTCTGAAAATCTATATACATGATATTCTTTTTATATATTTTATAGGATATATGATATGGGGGATAATTACCACATTAATATTATTTGTTGGAATTGCTGTTGTTTGGTGTAAAAGACATAAATCACCTACTGCTTATACTGTTATACCACCATCATCATCATTACCCCTCCCTGATACACCACCTGCATTTTCATTTATGACCCCCTCACCATCACCATCATCATCCCGCATTCACACTCCTACGCCACTCCTCAGACCCCCACATGTCAGTATCGAGGATGAGGAGGAACCAATAGCGAAAAGAACAAGAAGCTCAACCAAGAAGAAACTTAGGTACAAAGAGAGCAAAGAGGAACAAACTGAATTGTAAGATGCTTTTTTTAAAACATTTTGTGTCAGATTTCATTGATTTTCCTAACATGTATTGCATGATAGTAAATAGAACAGTCTGTTAGCTTTTATTTGCTTTTTTTTACATTTTTTAATAATAGCCAAATGAACAACCATAAAGAAACTTAAATAAAAAGAGGAACACACCTAATTGTAAGATGCCTTTTTTTAAACATTCCATGTCACATTTTCCTGTGATTTAATTATCAATATGTCAAGAATGTTTGTCAACTTATTTTTAACATGAGATTATCATTGATTTTCCATTTTTCAACAATGTTTCTCAACTGATCTTTAACATGTATTGCAAGATAGTAAAGAAACTTAAATAAAAAGAGGAACAAACCTAATTGTAAGATGCCTTTTTTTAAACATTCCATGTCACATTTCATTGATTTTCCTGTGATTTAATTATCAATATGTCAAGAATGTTTGTCAACTTATTTTTAACATGAGATTATCATTGATTTTCCATTTTTCAACAATGTTTCTCAACTTATCTTTAACATTTATTGCAAGATAGTAAAGAAACTTAAATAAAAAGAGGAACAAACCTAATTGTAAGATGCCTTTTTTTAAACATTCCATGTCACATTTCATTGATTTTCCTGTGATTTAATTATCAATATGTCAAGAATGTTTGTCAACTTATTTTTAACATGAGATTATCATTGATTTTCCATTTTTCAACAATGTTTCTCAACTTATCTTTAACATGTATTGCAAGATAGAAAAGAGAACTACAGTACAGAAAGGGTGATAGTGGTACCATTCTAATTGCAGAACATAGTAAGAAGGTTGGTTGGTCAAACAGAAAAAAATTACAGCAATGCCACTTTGAAGAGTGTTTCCACTATCATAGTGATTTATCTCAGTAATACTCCTGTAATTAGTTTGTTTTTGAAGTTAAGATGCCAATTTTGCATGATTATCAGGGAGTTTTTGATATGTATATTTTTATAGTGTAGTTAGTTGTTATGCAGAGATTATACAAGAGACCTAGTGTGTAGTTAGTTTGTTATTGACCAAGATTATTTTTAAATGATGTTTACTTTTACATGTTTTAAGTCTAGATAGTTTGTTATTAAAAAGATTATATTTGAATGAATTTAAGGTGCCAAATTTGCATGATAATCAGGGAGTTTTTGGTGTGTATATTTTATATTCTTTTTTTTATAGTGTAGTTAGTTGTTATGCAGAGATTATACAAGAGACCTAGTCTGTAGTTAGTTTGTTATTGATCAAGATTATTTTTAAATGATGTTTACTTTTATATGTTTTAAGTTTAGTTAGTTTGTTATTAAAGAGATTATATTTGAATGAATTTAAGGTGCCAAATTTGCATGATATGGAGGGTTTTATGTGATGTATATTTTATATCCTGTTTTTGTTTTATAGTGTAGTTAGTTTTTAAGTGAGATTATATTTAAATGAATTTAAGGTGCTAAATTTACATGATAATTGATATGTATATGTTTTCATTGTTTGTTAGTCTTTTTTAGCATGTTTTGCATTAAAAGTTGAAAGAAAAAGAGTGAAAAAGATATCCGTGGTATTCTTCTTGTTATGTGATAATAATGGCACATGACGGGTGAATTCTTTGGGTAGATTTTGAACTATCATCATGGAGTAAAGTATCATCATACAGTAAAGGACAGAGAAAATCTATGAAGAAGCTAAATGGTAGGTTTGTTTATTGATTATAGATCACAATAGTGTTTACAAATGAATGTCACTTTGTGTCTATTTGTTTAGTTGTAGGAGGGGTTTTAAATATGGTATATAACAATGGGGGTATTATGTTTCTATATAACACCATACATTGTATGTGATGAAGGGTTCCCTAACAATAGAATGGGTTAAAATAATGATAAAGTTTAGCATTCTTTTATAAATTTCTTTCATTTTATTTATAATGTATGTTGTCTTAGATAATGAATAACAATAACAAAAAGGTACAATTTTCTTCTCAAATATGGTGGTACTCAAGTAAACCAATGATTTCAAAACAATATCTCTGTCATTCTCTTCAGGGTTTTCATTTATGTAAAATTCCAATACAGCATATATGATGTCCCATCCCATTTCACTGACAGGTATTTGATGTAGTGGTGGATCAATATTTTCATTTTTGTTTATTTTTGTATATTTCATCTTTTGTTTAGAAATTGAATAATAATAATAATTCAAAAGTTTGTTTCTATACAGATACACACTTGAATTTGTTTATGCATACCAAACATTCAGATCTACAGGTTGTTCATCAATATATTTTTCCAATTTTGCATACACATTGTCAAAATTTATTTCCTCATTAGATAGTTTTTCATATAATTGTTTAACAAGATCCTTATTTTGATTCAAGATTTATAATTGAAATGTGAAACTTAAAGTATTCAGTTATCATTTATAATTATATAGTAGTTTCAGGGTCACAGTTAATAGCTTTCAATAGAGTTGAATATGGGATACTGTATCTATTTAAAAATCTTAGTGTCCTTTGAGTTGAATATGAGATACTATATCAAATTAAAATTTTAGTGTCCTTAAAATGTTCTTCAAATGGAACATGATACCCTATATAGTTACCATTGATGTTTACATAAAAGTACCATACTATAAATAAAGATAGAAAAGGGATACCTTATTCTCTGATGGGGGAAGGATACCCTTTTCTATGAGAAAAGGGGGTACCCTAAGTAACCATATTCTAGGATACCCTATATGTATTTTATATCGAATATATACCATATACTATAAATAGAATAGATACCATACTATAAATATATTCATTTGATATTTGGGTATCTTTATATAGGATACCATACTATAAATAGATTGGGGGTATCTTAGTATAGGATACCATATATGTTGATGGGGGTTCTCTACCAGGATACCATACTATAAATAGATTGAGGGTATCTTAATATAGGATACCATATATGTTGATGGGGGTTCCCTACCAACCCCTTATGTAGTTAGATCAATGGTGCAGATTAGGCATGGCATTTGTCTACTGTCCACCTATCTCTGTTGGGGGCATATCTTTTCTAATTCTTGGGCAACTTCCATAGTGAGATCCATTTTAATTTGAAGTAGTATAGTTCTCTTTTTTATATAAACAAAAATGTGATCTGTATATGGGAGGGGGTTGGGTATTTATACTAAAATCAAGCTCGGTGAACATTCATCGAATAATTGTTAAAATTGATTATTCAGTGTACCGAATTTTTAGAATTTAGCTTTTCTGTTAATAAATAGCAAGCTAGCACCGTTGTTGTGTCTTTGGAATGCAAAGTTAATTTACTGGTAAACACATCACAATGTAGTAATGTGTGACACAGCGTCACCAATTCCCTATCGAAAGTGGCAGTGTTCTAAGTGTTCCACTCCTAAAGAGCAATTACCTCTCTCTTAATATCGGTATTATGCTCGCACAATCCACAAGGAAAGTGCATCTTATCAAATTGAATAATATTTGCATGGCATCTAGAACTTCATCTATTTATGGTAGATATTCAATCTTCAAAGATTATCTTATGACGTCAAACATTCCAGACATTGCAATATATTGCAAGAAAACTATCTAGAATCCCCAATACAACACTATTATTTTGAACAAGAAATTACATTGAAAATAAGATTAGATACATACCATATCACCCCCCGTTAAATCAATTGGGTTTTGTATAGTGTTAATCTTTGTGGAAGTCTTCTCTTCCCCTAAAAAGATAACTTCATTCGTAGGTAATATATCTATAATGTTCATTTTTTTTCTTTTTCCTTACATAAGCAAAAAATTCCATTTATTAATAACAAAAAAAATATTATACATGTATATCTACTACATTTAGAAAAGAAGAATGATATTATTTTAAAGAAAAAATAATATAGTGTAATCAAGTTGATAATACATACCATATCACAGTGTGCTTCCCCAGTTAGGACAAATGGGTTTTTTGTGTGGTGTTCATTTGTGGAAGTCTTCTCTTCCCCTAACGAGATAAAAAAAAAATTAGGGATGGAAAATGTACACCAGAAAGCTTTGAATAAATCTTTTCTTACGATATTACTGATTGATTGACTGATTGTTGGTTGCTTAACGTCCAGTGGCAAATTTGTTATGCGTGATCAGGACGAGAACAAGTTAACAATAAATAAATAAGTAGGTCTTGTAATAATAGAGGACATCTGGGGTGATAGTTGGGGAAACTTGGACTGCCACTGGGAAATGAGGGTATATTGGATAGGGACAGAAACTTTGCCTTGCAACAGGCCACCTACGGACCCCTCAAAGAGTTGTTGCAAGGGTTCTTAACGTGCAAAGAGCGTGGCACTCTCACGAGGCATCGAATCTAACGTCTAAATTCTGACCGGATTTCGATGGAAACTTGATACGTACCGCACAGCCAAACGGACGCCCAACTTTGGCTAGGGTTTTACTGCCTGTCGGAAGAATTCCAAGTGACCATATTTCTACTCCCCAGTCACCCTTGGGATACTAAATACATCGAAAATTTGTTGCTCCGTCAGTGTACGTAAAGTGACAAAAATATTTTTTCATTTCATTGTACAAAGTAATACTGTTAAAATGAAGAAGTTAGTGCATAATGTCGGTGTACCTATATTGACAAAATTATTTTTCATTTCATTGCGTTGTTTAATAATACTTAAGAAAAATTGTAAATATTTAGTCATATCGTACTGTAATAGAAATCCAGAAGTTTAGTGCAAATTTTCAGTGTACTTAAAATTTAAAGTTATATTTCATTTCTTTGAAAAAGAAAGATGGTAAATTATTCAGATACAACATGCAGAAGTTGAGTAAATAATTTCAGGGTACTTTTAATGACAAAAGTATTTTGATTTCTTTGTGTTGTGTTTACAGACAAAGAAAGACTGTATATTATTAAGTTATTATGTCCTGTAAAAGAAATGCAGAACTGTAGTGCATAATTCCACTCTTGATTAATAAAACAA